CAGTTCTTTCCATAAAGTACGGTTAGTAGTTGCCCCATTACAAGTCAAGCCCACAACTTTCGCTCCTGCGTTTTCCAACAACATTATTGCTTTAATAACAATTTTTGCAAGGTCTACACCTACAACAGCAAACATTAATAAATTAATAAAAGTAAAATACAATATTATTTTAGATTTCTGTCATTAATGTAATTACTAATTAATAATTTTTTGATACCTTTTACTGGACCTTTGGATGCGAAAACAGCTATGGGTTGGGTAAAATTATCGGCTAAGCTCTGCCACATTAAAACCAATCCATGGTTGGCTTTTTCAGAGACATTTATTTTATTTTCTATTTCATTACCATAGTCTTCTAGCCCAGTATATGTTAAAGTACGACTGTTAACACTTAAGCTTTCTCTTAGAAAAACTTCATCAAATAACAGAACACCTATTTTCTGTTTTTCGGTTTTGGTGGTGAATTTTTTTTTTAATAGTTTGAAAAAGTTTAAGTCAAAACCACAACCAACTTGAATTGCTAATAGATTTCTTCGAACTGTGTTAACACATGGCAATGGAAGTATATAATTATCCCTCAAAAACTTGTAACCACTAGGAGATCTAAATTAAATAGCATAAAACAAGAAAAAATATAACTATAAATTATAATACTATGGCTTATTTTTTTTTTTTTACCATGTTAGTGCCTAGCTAATTTGAAAAAGAAGACACAGAAGTGTCCAGTTCTCACAATATCTTCTATTTTTAGTATTTTTAAATTTGGATGCTGCAAATATCTCATGTATAAGTTCAGATTGGCTCTTGGGAATTGCATGATTTTCTAATAATTTAGATAGACTTGAATTACTTATTTCATTCATTTGTTTTCTGCAGTTATTTAAACTTTGCTGTAATCTTAGTATTTTTTTACTTGCTCTAGAACACTTTTGTACAACAATTTTCTTGGCTTTTTGAATGTTTTTTTTATTTTTTTTTTTATTTGGGGAATAGTAAGTTCTTGGACTTATTCTTTTTGAACTCTTATACATTTTTTTTTTTACACAATATAACAGCCGTTTGCAACATAAACAAGAAAAATCACTAAATATTAAAAAAAAATATAATAAAATGTAATAATTAAATTATAATTGTATAATGTATTACAATTTACCTATTATCTTCAGGTAACACTTTTAAACATTTTTCATGTAATCATTTACCACATGTTTCTACATATTGTTTACCAAAATATGTTTTATAGTCAGTAATTTTATCTGCTGATATTGCTCCATTACAAATCCTAATTTTATTAAAAACATTAAAAACTAATTCTAAGTCCTCGATGCTATTGAACCAACAATTAGGCTAACCAATATCTGCAACTGATATTTCTCTGCCATAAATATGTAAAATAACATTTAAATCTGTAATATCAAATGAAATTCTATTAAATTATACATGCAGTTGGTGGATTTTCAAAATTTTCTGGGGGGGAGGTCCTAAAAATATCATGTATTTCAAATGTTTTTAAATAATTAAATATATTAATATACCCACCTTCTTTTAATACAAGATGTTTTTCAATGAATCTGAAGTATGAGTTAGTAAACGGTCCCATCTTATAAAAAGAAATTGACTTTTTAAATATTTTAGGTTTGTCATCAATAATAGTATCAACAGACCACTTAATCGGTAAATTAATTTCATTTGTTTGGTTAAATATAATATTAAATAAACCTGTTTCGTCAACTAGATCATCAAGCTATATAAAAACAAAATATAATAATGTTTATTAAACGTTGAATTAGGTAGGCACCTACTTTTATTTTTTTATAAGGTGAGTTCATTTTTTCCTCATATTCATTGTTTATTGGTTGACTACATTCCATAAGACAGTAGCTATGGTCATTATATTTTAATCCAACGGAAACTCCCTAGTTAATTAAATACAATAATACATTAGGTGGCATTTGGTATAGGTAGGTACTACATTTAATGTAATAAATAAATAATATATAATATGTTTAATTGAACGTTTCAAAAGACTATTAGAGTACAATAATACATTAATACCTGAACATTTTGCAATGATGTGTCACTGTTAATGAGAAATGGAACGGCACCTTCTCTCAATTCAGGTCGTTTTAAACACACCTAAAATATTTAATACCTGTCTATAATATATTGAAAATGAACTACCTAGTTATTACCTATTACTATATAGAATAAATAGCATATACAGCTAGTCGTCATTAAACGATGTAGATAACTAAAGTTAATTAATGTATATTGTATATTATAGATACTAAACTTACCGTGTATTTGGAAAAGCCTTGTCCAGACTCCCACGTATCAATGATGTCACTTTTATTAAAATGTGATGCACAAACTCTAAATTGTTTTTCTAAGTTTATACCTAGAATAGACTGCCATTCTTTCAACCTAATTTCACTTTTAGGCACAATAAAAGAAGATTTGTGTTTATTAACACAATTGGGTACACAACACTTCATTTTAGTTACCGAATTAGGTGGAAAGGTGTGCTAAAAAGTGTTGTAAAATTATAATAAACTTATAAATTATAATTATTAAATATTATAAATGTAAAGTCAGGTTATAAACTTATAAATTGAATAAATTGGCGGGGAATTAATACCCGTGTTCGCCACTTGGAGCGCTAATGCACAGTTCTTATCAACAGAAATTGAAAAGAATATTTAAGAAGCATATATTGTATGAATATTAGGGCTCGTTGAGTAACCATCATATCTTTAATCGTGGGCCGGGGCTACTATGCACGGCGTATTCCACCGAGTTTCAAACACCGCGTATTCCGCCGAGTTTTCCGTCGAATTGAAAACGCATTGGTTTATATCGGAGCAGCTATACACAGCGCACAGCGTTTTAAAATCAGAAAAAGCTGGCCGAAAGTCTATTTTTTTATTTTTTTTTAAAATAAAAGGGTAGAAATATTTAAGTTTATTAGTTGGTAAATTGTGTTTTGCAAACAAATTTCGAAAAAAAAAATGTTTTACTGTTAAAATTTCTATTTTAATTTGAAAAAGTACTAGGTATAATGTAAACATTTTCGAATAGTTATCCCCGTTTGTAAATCATTAATAAGCAAATCCTAATGTTATGAATCACCAAATGGTTGTTAAATATTTAATAGTATATTTGTTAAAGACTTGTATAAATGTGTTTTTTCCAATAGTGGTTTTATATTTTGTGTTAAATTTAACGTTTAATAACGGTATCGGTAATAACAACCATTATGATAAAGGGTAAACGGACAATCGGTCCCCGGACAATTGGTCCCTGGTAATATTTTATGTTATTTAATTAATATTTTATTTTTATTATTATTAACCAAGGCCGTATGTGAGGGGGGAAACAAAAATTCAATAAGATTACAATATACATATTTTTGACCCCCCCCCCTCCCCGAAAAATTCCTGTTGTGTATATATTGTATATATAAGAATTTACAGTACCTAATATATGAGAATGTTTAAAATTTTATTAAAATAAATATTATATTTAATTATAAAATTAATTTTATTATTAATTTTATTTAACTTTTTAATTATTTTTTCTTTGTTCAGTGTCACCAGAATTTGAATTATATTATATGAGAATGTTTTATGTTAAAAAATTATTTTGTGTTTAACTTTTAAGCCGGGGACCAATTGTCCGTGTATGAAATTATGACGGGGACCAATTGTCCGCATGCCGCATTTTTTCGCGGGGACCAATTGTCCGGGGACCGATTGTCCTAGATCCATGATAAAGTAACAAAGTGATTAAAATACACTTATCCCCTGTGTTCATCCATTGTCACATTTTATAGATAGTAACTACCTCTACTTTAATATAGTGCACAACTCTTCTGCCCGTATCTGCCTCCTCCTTAGACTCAAAAAGTAATATATTGTACGCCGATTTTAGTCATACTTTTATCGTTTATGTGCAGTAACAGTGTTTGAGTCGTTGTTGTACTTATAATTTTCTAATACTTCTAACACTATTATGGCAGCTACAAAAATAATTTTAAAGAAAGATATTTATAATATCATTAATTTAAATATTGGTGCTAATTCTAATAATGATAAAAAGAAAATGGCCCTAAATTATGTGTATTCGCGCTTACGAATCGACAAAAATAACACGTGTCTAGATATTCAAGAAGCAGTTGACGCTATTAAAATATGTCTTCAAACGAAGTTTTTTAACAAGTAAGATTTAATTTGTTATATAAAATTTCAGCTAGTATAATTAGAATGTTATGTTTATTGTATTAGATTTTGTGATAAATGGTCGCAATCAAATAGAACAAATGATCGCTTTATCACAGAATAATATAATCAGAATGGACACTGATAAAAATTAACATTACCAGCATAGGGCAAATTTAAAATCAGTCGCCATTTTAAAAAAGGAAAAATCAGTGTGCCCTTTTTATTAAATAATAAATTATGTGTTGAATTTTCAAAAGATTTTTTTATGTGTTTACTGATTTTAATTTATTTAGTGGAAAATTCAACTTAAAATTAAATGTTAATATATTTCTGTACTCAAATAGTATAAATTATAATTACTGCAATTGTTGTATATCACTAGGTTATTAACAAAATATTTAGTTATTATTTTTTTTAAATGAAGTTACATTATCACTATGTGTGACACAAGTTGAAATTTAAAATCAAATTAATTACCTTCTTTTTAATTGAGTTAAATTAACATTTTTTCAACACTTTAAATTTTTAGAGTTAAAAATATTTTTTGTTAACAACTATTGTCTATTAACTTATAAGTTATAACTTATCATTCTAAACGTTTAATTAACTTAATTAACTACAGTTAGTTTATTACCAAACTCTTTTACCTTTGTTTGAAACTTCACCATAACTAATAGTAAGTAATAACACAACAAATAATTATTCTATTACATTTATTTACATTAATAGTTGAAATATAAGTTACAAATATATAGGATAATATTAAAAATTAACAAACATTTATAAATGGGAAAAAATATTAAATTTACGATTTTTTCTTGGTGTTGTAAGTAGATCTCTATTGATTTTTTTAATGATATGGTAAATTCTTAGTCGAATATAGACATTTTTAAGGAAATCAAAACTAAATGATGTGCATGGATGTGTAAATGGTACGTTATCAATCAAATTCTTCATTTTCTTTCCTACATTATTTTCTTTGCCAATCGTAGGGAAATTAGTTATAAAAACATCATCCAGCTCGTTGATATAATTGAAAAAACTATCTGGCGGTACATTTAAGTTTCCATAATTTGAGGCAACTTCATTTTGATATGCTTTGAAGTGTATAAATATAAAAGGTTCGTCTATGCTTTTCTGATTTTTAGCAAAATCTAAACATGTGTCACAACTGTGTTTTTCAAGACATTTTTTAATTAAGTAAATACTGACATAAGTCAATGCATTTTTGGAAGTCAAATTTAATACTCTATAATCTAAAGTTCCTACATTTAAATTATTAAAATTAAATGGTGTCTTATCTGTAAATAGTATATTTGAGTTTTGCAATGGTGAAGAAATCTCTCCAATGTTCGTTAAAATTAAGTCCAAGTCTTCAAGACAATTTGATCCATCAGAATGTTTCATATAATTCAGGAAAAATTTTTTTTTGAATGCGTAGTAAAATTGAATAGGCGTAGGATTAATGTTATTGCCATTTTGATTCTGGAAAGTTCCGAATAAATTTTCAAGACAATCTTGATTAAGATAATAATATGTCCATAAGAAATATTGAGCTGGTATTTTAATATCATCAAATAATTTTAATAGAGAATTAATTATGATTTGCCATCCATGTATAAATTTCATTCGTTTAGTAACATCAACGCTTGTAGTTATTCCATTTACTGTTTTAGTTTCTATGACACGAATGTTTTTAAAAACATTCAACATCATGACCAAATTATTTTTTTGTTTTGTACTATTTTTGAATGGAAGGTTAAACTCTTTACCTACAGCTTTTGGTTTTGAATTAAGTATATCAAATAACTTATCCATATTTTCAATAAAATTAGCAGTAGTCTCTGCAGCAATTGGCAAAGTATCACATTTAATGCAATTACGCATACCTGCTGCTACAGTCGCACTAAACACTTGTGCGGCATATCATACTTTCATTTTTTGAAAAGACCCTGAATTAATATGAGCTTCAGTTAATTTAGGAGCACAGCGATTGAGACCTTGGTCAGCTTTATAAAAATCATTTAGGAACTTCTTGTCTGTTGTGTTATCCAAAATTTCAAATTTATACTTATAAAAGTTATTCCTTGTAGACTTCAATAAATGTGGAGCATCAAATACATAGTAAATCTTTTTACCATTTACAACAAAATATGGGCGTTCAATAGAAACATGCATTTTGTTGGCAAAACTATAAAAATTTGACCCCTGATCGGTGGGAAACACTTTAATATTGAGTGAAATGCTTTGAAGTCGAGAAATAACTGCAAATACTGTATTTTGCAGGGCAATTCCTATACAACTATTATTTATAAAAAAATATGCAACTGGTTGCTTCCATTTTTAGTTTAAACTCCTTATCATGAAACATAAAACATGTTTTGCACATTCATTGGTTTTTGTGTTGTAAGAATTATTAAAACCAATAATATAATCTTTGGACAAATTATAAAATAAATTGGTTTTGATAGCCATTTCATCCACACAAAGAACTATATCCTTAGCATCATCTTTCAAGTTTTTCATCTTAAGTTCCAAACAGTTAAATAAAACATCGTTCAATCCTGGTACTATGTCCACTTTTTCTGTCATTCTGCGTAGTGTTCTGGGACTTGGCAATTGTAAAATATTTTTCAAAAATCTATAAGCTATGGGCCCACAAAATAAATTGTAAGTGCCATTTGTTTAAGTTGGCTAGAATAACAAAAACCTTGAGGTTTTCTCTATGACATTCTAACATAATTGTTTACAATCATGGAGAGGTTGGGCGGCAAATGCACATCACAAAATTCATAAAAATGATCAACAGAAGTAACGGTTTCTCTCAGTTGTATTGACTGTGTTTTAAATTTTTCTTCCAATTGATTGCATTTTTTTTCTAGTTCACTATTTTTGACTTTTAAACTATGTTTTTGGGGAGTGTTGACAGACAGTACCTGTGTAGTTTGAGTAGAAGTAGAACTTGAAACCATACTCAATTCCGAAGTTGAACTTGTATGCTGATAGTATTTGATATAACTGACGGGTTGGATTTTAATGGTGTACATTAATTGGTTAGCCTTTCCAGAAGTTCTTCACAAATAGACTGACTAAAGCCTGCATTCCTACCTCAAGAAGACACAATCCAACATGACCACTCCTACGAAGTGAAGGCAAAAATTAATAAATCAGTTAGCTTCAAAACATGTTCCTATTAACGTTAGAATTGTTATTATTTAAATTGTACAACAAATATTAACTTTTAAGACTGAGTAACTGAGAATAATGTATAATATTGTATTAACTATTAGTTGTTATCATATTTATTGTTATGGATATTGTTTATTGTCATTTGTTATCATTTATAACCGACTCCGTTACTCGGAGGGGAGTAGTGTGGGGACTGGCAACACTGGCTGGCGGAATTTACGTCGACGCCACCATTTTTCACACACTCTCTCACTTTATATTTTCACTCTCGTTTTATTCTTTAAGTTTTCTATTACGTTTTTCAATTTGTAAATCGTTATTTAATAAGTTGTATTTTAATAAAATAATTTAATAGTACGTAAGGTTGTAATATTTTTAATACTATAATTATAACCCGTACAATTGGTGACATCGACAATGCAACAAAATGAACGAAAACGAGAATAATTCTGTAGCCGGTAATCCAATCATTCAAACGCCTGATACAACTATGGTGAACCGCGTAACAATAAAACCACCACCTTTTTAGAAGGGTGACCCAGCTATATGGTTTGCACAAATTGAAGCACAGTTCGCTTTAATCGGTATCACAAACGACACCACGAAATATTTCCACGTCATAAGCGCTGTGGACACTGGGATCTTGTCACAAGTGGCAGATATCATTCAAGTACCACCAGCAACGGAAAAGTATGTTACTCTAAAAACACGTCTAATTGATATTTACACAGATAGTAAAGAAAAGAAACTGAGAAAGTTATTGAGCGACGTCGAATTAGGTGATGGAAAACCATCGGTACTGCTTAACGAAATGCAACGTCTTGGAGGTAGTGCTTTGAGTGCTGATCTATTGAAGTCATTGTGGCTAATCATACTAAATAAGGTAGTGCGCTAGGCGATGACATGATAAGGTTTATCATCAAATATTAAATTATCAATTTTACGATTTTAATTTGTATTTTAATTTTTCAATAAATTAAACCAATACCTAATATTTTGTAGTTAATAAATACAATTTTTATAGTTACTTGTAGTAAGTAAGAAACTATTATTAATATGGCCGAACAGCCCGAACTGTCCGAACAGCAATCACTGCAAATATCCGTAGCTTACACCGAAAACGATGAAGAAGAGGTACTGTGTGACATGATATCCCTAAGTAGTAAGTATACCTACCTATATTTATTTATTTAACACGTTGGTGGAGCAGTTTCGTTTCTTAGGGCCCGTTTTACAATCATAGTTTAAACCTCGGTTACGCTTGAACCACTGATTTTACCGGCCGAATTCAGTGGTTTAACCTGAGTTCAACTATTGTAATACGGGCCCTTATGGCTTCAAGCTACATTAGAAATTATCTAGTGTCCTATTGAGTATTGTAACTTACTAACAATTTCATCAAAAAATCAAATATTCTAAAATATCTTTTGTTGCGTGCCTATTTCTTATATTCAACTCCAAAAATGTATGTCCAATAATAACAATATAATGCAACACTTAATTCGTGTTATAAACATTTATTAAAACTCAATACAACAATTACTTTAAAATTCACAAATAGATATAATGTTTAGCAAAATTACCTGAGCGTGCTTAATGTACTGGAGCGTAATAGTCTGATCAGTAGTTGTTTTAAGTTCCCTTAAAATATTAGTGGTTATTTTAAGTCACATGATTATAAAAACGAAATATCAATTGCCCTTTAAATTAAGGCATTATGCTGATTTAGAAAAGTTTGCTGCTATAGCAATTCTACGAATTGTAGTATACTAGTATATAAGAATGGTGATTATTAATGTACGTTATATTTTTTAATATCGATGTCATTCAACATTTTTGGAACTAAAAGTACATCATGTCTCATTGACTTATTCGACGCGTGCGATCTATTAAGTATTTCTGTTAAACATATTTGAATAATGTAATGGTTTTATTCTAATTTAATCTATGATATATACTTTATCGTGTTTTAAGTTAAGTGTGTGGGAGACTGACCTATAATACTCTAAAAACTTTATGAACACACAATCAGTGACTTCCAAATTACAGTCTTGTGCATAACTACTCTTAACTTTATCACTCATGTCCATCAACGTGTTAATCACAGAAATAATTTTATAATTTTTAAATTATTGTCTAGATAGTGAAATACAACAGTCTTTGCTATCGAAAAGACTGTTAATACAACATGGATTTTTGGAAGTAGTAAATGAAGATGAACAAAATCCAAAAGGTTTAGTTGTAGATCCGCCACTGGTTGTAGAGGAAATAGCCAACCCTACAAAATATACAAAGAAAGACTTGCCAACTAATCAATTACACGCAGCAATATCATATGTTGCCGTGCTGTTTACTAATAACTAAATAATAAACATGGTGGCTAACCTGCAATGCTGGCAGTCATTTTCATATACTTATAATATCAACGTATACGTTTATCAAATATTTAAATGTAAAAATTTTGTTTTACACTTGTAAAACGCGGTGGCAATCCTTGACATGGTCCTCAACACTGTTGTGGGGTAGCGCATGAATTATTGTACAACATGAGCAATACAGGACATTATACAATATTAAATACAAAATACAGGGGAACGGAGATCACCGACTGAACTGCCTTCCTGGAAGTTGAGCTGACGGACTGGAAGCTGCTGGTCTGCTGGCGTACGGGCCCAAACCGGTGCACCGTAGTGGTTTGGAACGACGAATGTTCAACTGCGTACACGTGGACGTGACGTATAATTTTGAGTAAAGCTACTCGGCACTTGTTATTACGAGTGAATGATCTTAATGTTGAACCACAGACTAGACGACGACGGTCAACAAATGGTTAACAAAAGTAAATGGATAATCGGCTGAACAATAACGGTTGAGCGAAAACACGTTTTGTATAGCACTAGACGGAAAAATGGCCGACGAGCAGAAGACACGAGAGAGCAAAACTAGGTATTGTAGTAAACCAACGTTTTTGCACAAAAACGGCGTTCCAAAGGTTAGGTGGCCTGAACAACATCACGCCACCAAAATAGGCCACTGAGGCTGCCGCCTCATTGGTTAATACTGATCGACTATTAGGAACGCCATTCCTATGACGTCAATCATCCTTTCCTAAATCCCGGGCATGTCTCATATAAATAGGGGCCCTGTTTCACAGACTTTTCAGACATAGAAGTAATTACCAGTGCTTTACAATACTTGTGTGGGTCGCGGACTAGAAACAGCCGCATCGCCGTCCACATCAAGTACAAATTAAATTACAACTATTCTCCGGTAGAATTATTATTCTGTCGACAAATTTCAACTTACTTAAAATTAACTATATTATTAGTTTCGTGTTAATAAACATATATCAATAATTAACTACATTTTGTGTTAAACTACTTATTCTACCTTCACTACAACCACCATCCTCCGATTCATTGAGACGACGTGTACGTGCATTCGTCGTTAAAGAAGTGTGCAGTAACCAATCAAGTGAGAGCGACGGGTTACTACAGTATCGTGGAGTCGGAGCTGACGCACACACGAAAAACAGGAGAGTTGAGAGTGACGCGGACGTCCGAGCTCGCCTGCGCAGAGCGCCGGTAACGGTCACGGACGAATCCCGGAAAAAAAGTACACGGAAAAAAAGTCCGACAAGAAAATTATTATACGGAAAAAAAGTCCGGTTTTCAAAATTAATAATATATATGATTCGTGTACATTAAAAGGCAATAAAGATAGCACAATTAATCTGTATTATAAGATAAAATATGAAATACCCAACGTATACAATATTGATGTTACGATAACGCATAAGAAATCCAGTCGTTGTCCACTCTCGTAGCTATTCACATCGAAATGGAAGAAGTAGTAATTTTGAAATCGGGTAAAAAAATTATTTGTAATGGTTTTGCTTACACAGTTAATCATAATCTGTCAACAAGCATCCGCTGGAAATGCTCTCAAAGATTATCTAAAAAGTGTCCGGGTATTTTAATCACTTCAAAAGGTAAATTACAATAAATAAATAATAATAAATTAAAAATAATTATAAAAAAAAAATTACTGTAGGTATCACTAACCCTTGGTTAATCAAGGATCATTCACATGCTGATGATCATAATTTAGCGACAGTTGAGAAAGCTAAAGAAGACATGAATAATCGAATGAAAATAACAACAAATAAACCATGCCAAGTATTTTCAGCTGTAGTAAGTGAACTTCCTCAAAATTGTTTAAAATCATTTAGTTCTGAAGAAAGTATTAAACGTACACTTAGAAACTATAGAAACCGAGGTATTCCACCGAAACCCAATTCTTTGGCTGAACTGACAATTAAAGATGAATGAGCACTTTACAAAAACGAACGGTTTTTGCTATATGATAACAAATTAAATTCCGATGACAGGATAATTATTTTTGCACTTGACCAAGGATTAAAATATTTAACTGAAGCACATACTTGGTATTGTGATGGTTATTTTTCGTTAAGTCCAGAAAACTTCCTGCAGTTATAAGTTTTTCGAGTGAAAAAATATGATGTTTTTGTAACTGTAGTTTACTGTTTTCTTCAAAAAAAAAAATTATAGTACTTACAAAGAAATTTTTAGCGTAATTCTAAAAGAATGTGACAGTCGGCAATTTTACCCGGATCCACAAATTATAAATTTAGATTTTGAACAAGCTACTATAAATGCCGCCCAGTGTGTTCTCGGCGAGCACGTCCGTATACAAGGTTGTTTTTATCACTTGTCTCAAAATACGTATCGCAAGATACAAGAAGTAGGATTACAAGCCAAATATAAAACGGAAGATACATTAAGTCATTTTTTTGCTATGTTAGACGGGTTAGCATTTTTGCCAATGAATAAAGTTT